CAAACAGGAACACACTTGGCACAGATGCGTGTTTAGTGTAGTCTTCATCACCAGACACCCAATGATTACAAAAGCCAGAATTCGAAGAGGAAGCTCACGGGCCAGAAGGAAGTACACGTATAGCATCTTTGCAGCGGGAAAAGAAAGAATAAATTATGAAGACGAGCAAAAGGTACCTTATGCATGCTGCTGGACGTTCTGTTGCTTATGCATTATACTGGGCTACAGGGACATATCTGTGATGTTCCTGTTGGGAAACAACATTACATTGCATATCCTGTTTTTGTAAGACAAAGGACTGCAATTGTCATCTCTTTGCTGTTGTTACAAGGTCGCAGCAACTAACACCATACATGATAGAACGGATCGTGGTACTATCTGACTGCCTAAAAATATAGTGACTTTAGAAAGAGATCTAGCCAACAGCATGTTTTGCACCAAGCCAATGCAGTAAACTTTCTAAACGATATTTGAACCGTTGGTTTTAGATAGACATATGTATAGAGAGGTTAAAGCAGTGAACTTTCATTATGTCGCTTTCTGAAAGTGTTTGTCATGATCACGGTGGCAGGGGAGTGTGCTCATTATGTTATCGTATTTTTTTCATATACGCATGCGCATAAAGAACACAAGCATTTTCTGTTTGATTTTTCACAGGACAAGTTCCTCACAGACTAATGTAAAAGACACCATCGCAGCACAGCTTGAACCAGTTTTGGCGCCGGAAGCGTCAGACTTGTCGCGGAAAAGAATAGACACAGTTTCAGCCTGCGTCCGAATCACCAGGCCGTGGCCTGCAATTACACGTGACTCTGTAGGAACTGGCTGCAGTTACTTCCACACTCTTGCGTTAGGCCGAAGGTCATCAGATTTCAAATCACAAGCGATTGTAGTTTAAAAAAAAAACCCAAGAAAACACAACTCCTATCAGCTGTATCTCATGATCTGATATAAATGGTGATTATGTATTTTGAGATTTTAGAGATCTTGAGTTGACAACAATTTTGTCTGGAAGGGAGGCGTCGAAGTCGTCTGACCTTATTTTCTGGGGTTAAAGGGTCAAAGTTGAGGTATATTTGAGATGCTTGTACCCTTTAAAATCAGTGCATCGGTCAATAGCTTTCAAACTGTTTCGAATTTTAATGCGAAACTCCACCCTGATGTAGAGATGTGTATTTTTCTTGATATCACTCTGACGTCATCAATTTAAAAGGTAGCTACAAAAGCTGGTATTGGCAATACGGCGTTTCACAATAGTGCACCTCGAAGAGTTTGCAACGCGTTGACTAATCACAACGTGCAAAATATGTCGACCCAGTCCGCGTTTGGAAAGGGTCGACAAATTTTGCGCGTTATGATTGGTCAACGCGTTGCAGACTCTTGGTGGCGCACTATTGTGAATCACCCGTATTTGCAGTTATACATGCGCCTCAATGGCAAACACCATATAAGTTATTTTTCTTCAGAACTCACTTTCTTTTCCCTTGACGCAGAATATTTGACAACGAAGTGATGGATTTCATAAAAATTACATAGGCCTATCCGCTCCAAGCGGAACAAAAGAGGGCGTGTTTTTTGGTACTCACCACAAA